TATGTATCATCAACATCAAGGAGGACAACAAGAACTAGGATGTATGTCTATTGGATGGGGAATCAGTAAATACGAATTCTATAGATGGGAGAAAGTGATAGATTACTTCTTTAAAGAATCTTCTTGTGAAGAACCAATTGTTATGCTTGATTTTGCTGGCAGTAACTATGTAAGGAAGTTACTGTAGGGGGAAAAACCCCGTCGAGTATAGAGTCAACACTAGAGCTTAGAAGCTCTGCTGAGCAGAGTTATATGCTTGAGAATATTTGCACCTAGAACTGCCTTCTATCATCTGTTTTCATGCATGCTTGAGCGAAAGCGACTTTATTTGGCAATGAAACAAGGAAATCTGTTTAATTTTCATTTTACTTTCGGTTTGTTTAAGCTCTGAAAACGAAGATTGATAGCTACCTACTATTTGCCAAAATGAAAAAATGTTGTTTCCATCCGTTTCCACCATCTATTTTCTCATATTTTCAATGAATTGTTTTATTTTCAATGAATTGTTTTTCTTCTTATATCGATAATGTAAATTATTTGAATACATTACTAAAAAAAAATAGTAATTTTATTTTAGTCTTTTAATTTTTCTCTTTTACCTAACTTTTCTACTTACTAATTTCACATTAAAGACTATTTGTTTTTTCCGTTGAATCATTAAAGATTTATTTGAACCTAAATGAATTAATAATTCATTTCAATTCAACGGTGAGAAATTCATTTGAAAATGAATTCAGATGTTTGACATGTTGTATTCAAGTATCTACAAATTAATTGAACTGAACTCCCAAGTCATGTTTGGAACACATTTATAGTTGAATTAAATGAAAACCTTTCAAAATGTATTCTTAATTTAATAATTAAATCATCTAGAAAGTTATATGTATTCAAATCAATCAATGAAAGCATGTACCAACTACATGACATGAAGTTTGAAAAGTAACAATGTTACTATTACTTAGCTTATAATTCACCATTAAAAATTAATTAACTGGTATTTCAAACAAAAACATTTCCTTTCAAAATGAACACCTAAAAACTTATAGAATTCATTTATATTAAAAAATAGATTATATTTTATTTCATAAAGTCACCATAAAATATATATATATATATATATATATATATATAATTTCTTCTCTAATAAAATAAATTTTCCTTGTCTTTTTATATTTAATCATTTAATTTATCATCTTTATTAGTAAGACCATCCAAATTTTTCTTATTTTGATTTCAAACAATCTATTATCATTCATATTTCAATTTCATAATTCATCAGAAGTTTCAATTAAATAGGTTTTCATTTTTTAGATTTTCATGTTTTGTTTCTTAAAAAATGGTAGTTTCATTTCCATCATGTTTAGTTTTGTGTTACCACAATCACATAAAACGGAAATGAAAGTAATATACAATAACCTATTTATTATATTATATGCCAATAACCTATTGAGTGCTTCATAATATGAAACTCAGTATCCTTCTGCAATCAACAACCGGGAGCCTATCTCCTAGACTTCTAAAAAATGTGATTGAGGTGGCTCAGGAAACCTATATGGCATATGCCAATCCTTTGAGATGAGTTACTGGCTCACTGCACATCTTCCCAAGCAAAGATTTAATTGATTCACTCTTGGGTAAAATACATCGGGTACCACTAAAGTATGAGAATTGGGAGAGTTATACCACTTAAGTTTGAATAGGGCGTCGGGTACCACTAAACTCTATTATATGTGCACCCGATACCACTTAAGTTCACTGCTAAGTGCATTCTGTTAAAGTTGACAGCTTATTATTGGAATATTCCATTTTCTACATCTCGGAAATGGTCATTTTACTCTTATTATTGTAAAAATCCTTATAAAAACATCACTTTTTATTGTTAAGTAGCTTCCATGAGGAGGTTCTGTGTAGGCCTGTCACTGCAGAGGAGATTAAGAATGTCATGTTTGGTTTTAAGGGTGATAAAAGTCCTGGGTCGGATAGGTATTCTGCTTGTTTCTTTAAAGCTACCTGGGACATTATAGGAGGGGAAGTCATCTCAGCTATACAGCATTGTTTTGCTCACTCTTCCTTCCCATCTTAGGTAAATTCTACACTTATTGCTCTTGTTCCAAAGATAAAGAGTCTTGAGGAAATGAATTTTTTTCGCCCTATCTCCTATTGCAATACCTTGTGTAAGTGTATTGCCAAAATCCTCTCTTCTCGACTTAGTGAGTGTTTGCCTAGTGTAATTAGTGAGAATCAAACCGCTTTTGTCAAGGGTAGAGTGATTGGGGAAAACATATTGCTTGCTCATGAACTTATCCAAAAGTATACCTGGCAAAACATTTCTCCCCGAAGTATAATAAAAGTGGATCTTATGAAGGCTTTCGACTCTATTGATTGGACTTTTTTTATGACTGTGCTTGAAGCTATGGGTTTCCCTAGCCAGTTTCTAAAATGGCTTGCAATGTGTGTGACCACTCCTAAGTTGAGTATTGGGTTTAATGGTGGTGTAGTTGGTTATTTTTCTGCTCAGAAAGGACTTCGTCAAGGAGATCCTTTATCTCCCTATCTTTTCACATTGGCTATGGAAGTGTTTAGTTGCCTTATGAGTGTTGCAGTGGCTGAAAATAAAATGCCTTTTCACCCCATGTGCAACAGAGTTGGATTGACTCGTATCATGTTTGCTGATGATTTGTTGTTATTCTCGGATGGGTCAAACTATGGGATTCACTGCATCCAAACTGTGCTTGAGAGATTCAGAGTTTTGTCTGGCCTGGTTTCTAACCCTGCAAAGTGTGAATTGCATTGTGGAGGATTGCCCCTCCTGAATGGAAGAGTAGTATGGCGGAAAGGGCAGGGTATATACTTGGAACTCTTCCTGTGAGATACTTGGGAGTCCCTCTGATTCTAGGTAAGCTTTCCATTAAAGCATGTCGGCATTTAATTGACAGAATAATGAGTAAAATTCAAAGTTGGGGGGCGAAGCTGTTAAGCTATGCTGGGAAATTGCAGCTAGTTAGCTCTGTGCTGCTCAGTTTAGTACAGTTCTGGATGGCTGTCTTTATCTTACCCAAGCAAATTGCTAGGGAAATATAGAAGCTCTGTAGTGATTTTCTATGGGGTGTTCACGTTGAGGGTAGGAGCAAAGCTTCCATAGCATGGAGTGAGTGGTCTTAGCTTGCCAAAGAAGGAAGTAGGGTTGGGGATAAGAGACCTTTTTAGCTGGAACCAAGCATGTGTAGTGAGACATATTTGGGATCTTCTGCTTAAGGAGGGTTCCCTATGGGTAGCTTGGATGAGAGCATATAGATTGCACCATAATGACTTTTGGCTAGTGGAGAGTAACTCTGGATCATGGCTCTAGAGAAAAATCCTCAAGCTAAGAAGTAAGGTTCATGGAATTCTTGAAGTTAGGGGTAATGATGGCTACTGGCAGGGGCAGTATCTGAAGAAGTTTTCCATTAAAATGGTATGGGAGTTATTTAGGCCTCGAGCTGCAGATGTTTATTATTTCAAGCTGATATGGAAAGAGCCAGTTATTAAGAGTAACCAGTTCCTCTGTTGGCAAATCGTGAAAGGGGTTATCACTATGTGTGATAAATTGATGTCCTGGGGATACCAGAGAGCTTTTAAATGTGTTTTTTGCAGCTGCGCAGCAGAGACTCGAGACCATTTGTTCTCACAATGCACCCGATATACTGAGATTTACTCTTGTTTCTTCAGTAAGTTCACTTGCAGCCCCCCCCCCCCCCCCCCCCCCCCCCCCCCCCCCCCCCCGGGTCAGTTGGGACTCAGAGCTTCAGTGGGCTGTTTTTGTTTTTTCTGGTTCTGCTCTCTGTGCAAAAGCTGGGAGACTCCTTTGACAGATTCTGGTAAGTGGTGTATGGAGAGATAGATGTGCTCTTTGTCATGGTAAGCGGATTTTCCAGGTTGCTTTACAGTCTTATGTAGTAATGATTATGGGTTTATTTCCCCCTTTTCTTGGCTCATATACTATAGTTAGAAGTTGATAGTTGATTGTTATTAGCTTTCACTTTTAAACTTATTTATCCTAATGGCTAGGGTTGTGGCCACATTTTTGCCTTCGGGTTGTTTTGATGAAATAGAAGCTCTACCATTCATAAAAAAATTGAATTACTCCCTAAAGAAATATATTCTATGAATTTTATCATGATATAAATAATACGAGGATGTTATATTTAGTTCACTTACATCATATTGATGTTGTCTAATTTTTCATTTAAATCTCCTTGTAATTCTATAATATTATATTCTAGATGTTCCATATTAGTTAAATTTACTATTTCTAATTATTTTCCTATAGTCATATTTTCTTTTCTATATTTGAAACTGAATGTTGTAGCTTTTATAGTTTACTTATTACTTGGTTACTTTCTATCTCTTTTCGTTCTAATTTTCTTTCAATTAATGAAATATGTTTAATTTTCAAATTGTGTTCCATTTATCCTTCTTTGGTCTTGATGTATTAATGGTCAATAAGGTTTTATTTTAATTGAGTTTAGTAGTGCTTTTAATTGAATCCTGAGTTTAAATAGATCTTCTAATATTGATTTTAGTTATAGATTATAATATTTTAGTATATTTATTATTCCTTCTTGATATTCATTTATTATTTTTACTATTTTATCTATTATATTGAAAAATTTCATTAGCCATTCTAGTAGTACTAAGTTTAGAAGGTTCTCTAATTTTTATATTAGATGTTGAAATATAATTTTTGATTTTTTTAAAGTTTTGGATACCAAAAAGTAATTAAAAGTTTGGGTTGGATGGAAAACTAGACGGATGCACATTTTGGAGACTTTAATGGTACTTGGCGCCCTATTCAAACTTAAGTGGTAAGATTGCCCTAATTCTCAAAGTTAAGTACTACCCGAGGTATTTTACCCATTCACTCTTCAGCGGATAAAAGTTATTTTAGGGGTGACAGGATGATCTAAGTAAAGGCAAAAAATGAAAAAAAATGTTATATATACGAAAAATAGATGGCCATTATTCATTAAAATAAAATAAAAAAAAAGATGGCCATTTTAATCCGAGTGTGGCTACATAGCCCAACAACTTCAACTGAATCGGGCTTTGTTGATGATATGGGCCAATAAGCCATCATCCACAACCGGACACAACAAACGAAAAATTGGGAAACGCAAAAATCACTAATTTGATACCATTCCCTCTCCATTTCCCCAATCCCCCCTACATTTTCCCGCGGAAAGTCATATTGCGCGCTCTCTGCTAACAAAACCCTAAATTGAGATTTGTAGCTTTCCTCCGACCAATTATTCATGTATCTCGGTCGTGCTTCAGCCTTCAACGATTGAGGACGTCCTATTACAGAGGAGTAGTCTTTCGGATAGCAGCGACGGAGACAATCAATTGCGAGCTTGGTGACTCCCTCCGAGCGAGTCAGAACGGGAAAGAGTCTCCCGCCCTGTAATAACCTTCGAAGACCAGGTATTCGTCGGCGTTGATTCCTTGCTCAGCTTTCGCTTTGAATCCCTTTCGATTCCTGTTTTAGGTAGACCACAAGGGATTGGTACACTGAAGGTGGGTCCGGTATAAAATGACGATGGCATCAGCTGCGAATTGGGTAGAAATGGGAAACGGGCCCGTGAAGAGGAAGAAGAGGATGTGACAAACAATGGATTCAGGAAGATGGGTTAACCAGTCAGTAGCAGTTGAGGCATCCTCTTCTTCCTCTTCACGGGCCCGTTTCCCATTTCTACCCAATTCGCAGCTGATGCCAGTCTCGTTCATCGTCATTTTATACCGGAGCCACCTTCAGTGTATCATATTCCTGAATCCATTGTTTGCTCAACGACGCCAAATCGGTTGTCCAAACCTCTGTATTGTCCCAAGCGTGGAGGTTCGTCTGGAAACATGTCCATGTTCTTGATCTGCGTAGTGATTCCTTCCAAGAGTATTCGAGTTTCCAGAGGTATGTTGAGAATGTTTTGTCCCACCGTGGTCCCTTTAATGTCAGCAAGATAAGCTACGTTGATAGTGGCGATTCGGAGGAAGTAGATTTTAGTCTGTTTGACAAGGTCATCAAGTATGCCTTATCTCATGATACTCAGCATTTAGTGGTTGACCTGGACTCGTCGGGTACATTTATGGACGAGAATTACACATTCTCCGAGCTGTGTGGAACAATTCCCGATTGCAACCTCAAAATGATGAAAATAAGAGCTGTCTGGATCGATGACTCATTTGTAGCTTCTGGCTTCGGTATGCTTACAACTTTACATTTGGAAGATTGCATGTTACATTCTGCTCTGCTCGAGGACTTCGATCCCTTCTCAAAGTTTTCTTGTCTGAATAAGTTGGTCATGGCTCATTGCATGTATCACGGTAGAATTAAGATATCTGGATCTCAGTTGCTTAGCTTGGAATTGGATGGTATGGCATGCTCGGACATGGAAATATCTGCACCAAGACTCAAATCCTTGAGTCTCTTGCAGGAATTGGAATATCTGCAATTCACCAAGTTAAGTGTTCCTTCCATAGATCATGTTGATATCCGGGCAACTGACATGAACTTTTTCTTGGAGGAAGATGAGGAATGTGTGAGGAAATCTTTGATATCCTTGTTCCAAAATTTAAAAAATGCAGTATTTCTTTCGCTGGGCCACTATACAGTCAAGGTAATCTGTTGTTAATGCCGTCATACTCTCAGTGTTCCCGTCGATGATATATTTACCTTGACAGTTGACAGTTAAGTTGGCTTTTGTTCTGTGTAGGTGCTGAGTGATATGTCTGAGTTTCTAGAACAACAACCCTCTCCATTTACAAGACTGAACTCCGTGATCATGGTGACTGACAGTGTACCTTACACAGTCATCAATTACTTTCTTAAAGAGACTGCTGCATGAAGCCGAAATTTGTGTTTGTGTAGCATATTGGTCAGCCATTTTGCCATAGTCTCTGATTATGGTGTGCAATTTGTTGCTGTTTGTTTTCATGAAATGACTGCCCAACAGCTTATTTTGACCGTCAGTCTGTCATATCTATTGCGTTATCACTTCTTTCTCAGTCCCTTGATAATAGTATCCTTACCTTCAGTTGCAAATATAGTTTTGATGTCTGATATCTCGACTTTGGTATGTTCTCCTTGTTTTAAAGTTATGGACTTGCGGTGCCTTGCATAAATCAACTTGTGGCGCTTGCCTAAACCTCTTACTCCTATGCTTGGCTCAAAATGGAGCTACAGTATCATGGTTCTACTGTTTGAGTTGCGGGTTTTGAAAATGAAACTTACTCTAGCAATGGCAGATGCGATATCCAAATCATGGAGTGTACCAATCATAACTCGTAAGTATGAGACTATGAGAATGTATGGATAACTGTTGTTACTGTGTTTATCTTTGCTTTCCTGAGATGGCGTATGTGATTAAAGCTTGCAATAAGGCTGCTGATATGCTGCTGCAAAATTGCATCTTGCAATTGATGTCTCAGAAGTAAACGTCAATCTGAAGTCTAAATGTAGTGGAAAGATGTGGACAAATGCAGAGTATCGTTAGTGCTAGAGCTTCTTGAAGAGGTGGTGCATACCGCAACCGGCCAACCGCACCTCATTGACAGAACCCGAAAACCCTCAGGCACAACCACCATGAAGTCTGTAACATCAATTTCTTTGTATGATTCTTCGAAATTAGGAAGGTTCCTACTTTTATGAGAAACCCATTAACCCATTGGAGTTGCAGAATTTCAAAGTGCAACCCAAGAATTCAAGATCAGAGCATCATGAAATAAAGTTCCGCAATCTGTAACCACCCCAATGAGTCAATGACTAATGATTTGCGTCCTAAATTGGATGACAAAGATGACGGTAGAGGAATTGTTTTTTCCACAGAGGTTTAAATTCTAGTGATGACAATTGTCGGTGGAAAAAAGCAAGTAACGCGCTTGATGATTATTATCCTTATCTCCTTACTTTATATTATAGCTATTCAAAACAAAAGTTGTGCCACATCAGCATATGAAGAGCTCTCAGCCACTCACCCATCACTGTTGGAAAAAAAACAACTTTATTAATTCCTGTTACAATTTGAATAGGTTCTAGAGAGTTTTAACTTATTCTTACCTAACGCCTCTCTTTCTCTTTCCTACCCTCAATTCTCTCTTAACGTAAGAATAAGTTAATTTTATAACCTTTGGACGCTTTGTCTCCATTTGCGGGCGGCCGGAAATGCTCCCATTTATTAGTTTTAATTAATTTTGTTTCCTTCCTTAAATTGGGAAGGCTTTGTCTCTTGGGCTCTCTTCATCAGCAAATTAAGTTATTCCCACGACATTGAGCCATACACTCCCCACTACGGAAAAAGACCTTCTTGCAACACATGGATTGCAACTCTATTTTAAAGAGTTGCCTTAAATGTACAATAGCAACACTTTTTCATAGGGTTGCATATTATGTAGTTTAGCCAACACAAATTAATTATGTGTTGCATTTGGTATATTATTTGCAACACATATATCACAAATAACTTTTGGGTTGCCGAAATTTTAATTTGCGCCAAATGTTTTGTTTGAAATTTTAAGTCCGCCCATTTTTTGGACTTAGCGGCAAAGAGTTATTGTTAGTTAAATAGTTTTCCTTCTACTTATCCTTTCTCTCACATATTCTCGATGCAAACCCTCTGAGCATCGCGCCGCCTTCGACCTCCCCCGCCGAGCCTACTTTGCATCCCCTGCCTCCCTGTGCCGAGCCGACTCTGCCTTTCACAAGTTCCCTGTTTGACCTCGCTGTTGATGTAGCGTTGTGCAAGCGGTGGGCGGTGGGAACGGAATTATGATTTCGATTGAAGCCCGGAAAGTTTACGCTTGTCACTGCCGATGGAAGAGAGAAAGGATAGCTGATTTGGGTCTTTTTTTACTCTAATCGTTGTGTCTTTGTTTTATATTCGTTTTGGATGAAGCCTGCAGGTTTGGTCCTTTATTTTCCATATTCAGCCGCTCCCTTCTTTTCCTCCCCAGATCCGTTTCGGTTTCGTCACGGCCACTCCCCTCCAAGCGATTTTTAACCTCTCTTCACTAATCCATTCTGCTCCTGCAACATCAGGTACCGAAAAGCCTATTATTGATTCATATCCATTGCAGCTAGATTAGTTCCTCAAATTTGACCTCTGTACCAATTAGTAATTATGTTTTTCATTTTACATCATTCAATTGGGTTTTATTGCTTTCTTGGTGGACTTTTAATTGAAAAATGGCGTCTATGATATTCAGATTGATGTTGCAACCAACTTCTTCACTTGCAACAGGCTTTTACTTGAAAACATGGTTGATATTGTCGGCTTTGGATGCTTTACAACCATGAATTTCGTTTGGTCAGGAAGGCTTTGTGTTTAAGGTGGTGCTTGTGGCTTTGAAGCTAGGCTCTATGTCATGAAGTACATGTCAGATGAACCAGGCTTCTCATGGCGCATGGTGAGCTTCCAAGGAACACTCGTCCCAATGAGAGAGGCCTAGATGAGGTGAATGAAGGTACAGGAGATGATTGCATTGAATTTGAAGATGAAGATAAGATCTAAGGAGCTTGTGGGATGGTGTGTAATACTCTTGTTATATTCAGACATCAGATTGTGATATATTTTCCTCCACACAGAGTTGTATTTCTGCAGTTCCATACATTCTATTATGCAATGAAGGAACAGATGGATAGTTGTAGTTCTCATAATAAAATAATGAATCTCTAATACTAAATTTGTTTGTATATGTTGCTTTGCACATTAATGGAGAGGCTCCCACGACTTTATTATTATTTTGGTACTAATTGTTACAATCAACTAGAGAAAATTAAGCCCTCTAAAAAGTATTAACGATGGTATAAAGCCTAATACGAGGGTAGAATTTCGATTTCAAAAGTTTTGTAATGTGTTGCCTAAAGAGGCATTGCAAAAAATAAGAATATGCAACCCGTTTTATTTTGGTTGCAAAAAATGAAAAAATAGTTGCCTATACTTTCTGCAACCCCCACTATATGCAACCCTAGTAAAAGTGTTGCGATAGGATTTTGCAACTCTTTTAAGGCTTTGCGCAACACTTTTTTGGGGGTTGCAAGAGACCATTTTTCCCGTAGTCCCCGCATGTATGTCCTGGACCTTTCGACAATTCCAGCAACTGTGGGACGACAACCCAGCTCCCTCTCGCCACGGCCTTCTCAACGCATCACACCCTTCTTGCGCCCGCTATTCAACCCGGAACTCCTCAGCATCGCCGTTGTGTAGCCGCGGTGAAGCAGGACAACCCGGAATTAACCTTCGACTTCAACAGCTACAGGAGAGCCAGCTGACCCAACAACGGGGAATCTTACCCACTGTCAAACGCCGCCTTTGCATCTGTTTTAGCTGTCGGACGCAAACTGGTGTGTTTGTATAATGTTTTTTTTGGGTTGTTGTTGTCGACGTTTTCCCATTTATACAATTGAAATGATATTTTGGGTTTATGGTGGTCATTTGGGCCTAACTCAATCCAAATTAAAGCTTTGTTTTTTTGTCTAATTGCTTTCTGACCTACGGTTTTAGGATAGAATGAATTTAGTTGTATTGTTTGCATCTTTCACAATTGGATGAGTGATATTTGTAGTTGATTTCGGTACAACATTCTCAAGGTTGATTACATGAGGAAGCGAAAGAATGATGATGAGGATGACAATAAGGTTCCTCGCTCCTACAAAATTGCACGGACAATTGATACTTCACGATGTTTGTGGGATTTGGATCACGGTATTTCTTTTCCCCTATACTAATATGTCAACATTTTTTAGTACCCCGTATGTAGTCTGATTGCTCTTGATTTATATGTAGCGAAAGCTTATTTTGTAGCACAATCAAGGTCAACCAAGTTCTTAGCTGCTAGAACAGCACGAATGAAACGACGAATTGTGTTATGTTCAAAGAGGATGGCTTTACCAGCATTCTGGTACTTGACAGGTAATTTAAAGTTACCTTAATTTCATCATATTTTATATTATGGGTTTTGGTCGGGATGCTTTCAGAATCTAATTTCCTATCAATATTACAGGTTGCAACTATTCACTTGCTAAGCTAAATGCTAAAGTTAAACGCATGAATAGAAAGATTAAAATAATTGTTGCGAAAAAGGAGGAAAAAACATCGCCTATTGTGATGGAAAAAGGTATATTGTTGATACATGTTGTATATGTTGTTTCTTATATAATATCTACATCTTTATTATTTGTAATTAACGTTCTCTTTAACATACATAGGTTCTAAGCATGTGGAATGCTTTTTGCTTGGCCCTCCTTTGAGCACATGTCAATATTGTGCAGCTGTTATGTGGAAAGAGGAAAGTAAATCTCGATCTTTAAATTCAGAGTCTTCCAAATTTGGACTTTGTTGCAATTCAATAACAAGTAGAAACACCTTAAACGTCAGAGTAGGTTGTCAAACCGGTTTATGCAGTGTGCCGGTTTAGCAAGTGGAATGGTTCAACCGATGGTACATACCGGTTTGTGTCGGTTCATGCCGGTCAATATTACAAATAAATTTATAAATACTCATATTTAAACATGACATTTAACGTCAATACCTAAGCATTTATACTTGAATCCAACAAATAACATCAATATTTAACTTTTATCAATTAAATTCTCTAAAATAAAGTCAATTTACTTAGAGATTCGTATATCGATCATGCCGGTCATACCGATGGTGTCACGCCGGTATTATGACCGGTACCGGTTGAACCCGATACAACCGGTGGCACGCCGGTCGGTGTGACAACCATGCGTCAGACACAAACTACTAAACAAATATATTTTCCGGAATGACTTCTAACAGGAAGGACCACAAGTCCACAACCTAATATCACACACTAAAATAGGAAGGACCACTAACGCAACACAAAAATAAGTACGACAAATACAAATACAAAAGTACCATTATGAACACCCAAAACCAATAACAAATTATATGACAATACGATGCGAAAAAAGAACTCACTCAAACACACCGCCCAACGGGCGGGTAAAAAGCTAGTTATTCCTATATAAATGAGGAAAAGTAAGATTTAGGTTAACTATATAAGTGGAGCGCTAGCCCACCAAAACCGCCACCGTTTTCTAGTCTTCGGCCTTGTGCACGAGAGTTAGGAATTGCAGCGGCGGACCGGAGAAGAAAAAAGAGTCTCACGATCATCGGAGCCCCTGTACCGGCCAGCCGGTCAATCCAAAAACAGGGGAATCCGCGTTGAACTTGACTTCCTCCATAAGTTTCTGAATTAGTTGCAAGTTATGAACAACGACAACAGCTGTGTCGGCGAGTTGGGGAAAGCTGGGAAAAGGCGTCGTGATGATGAAGAAGAAACTGCTACTGACAGGTTAAGCCATCTCCCAGAACCCATTCTTTATCACATCCTTTCGTTCCTCGACACCAAACTTGCAGTTCAAACCTCGGCGCTTTCGCGGTATTGGAACCGAGCGTGGAAACATGTCCCTGTCCTCAACCTGGATAAGAAGTCCTTTCTGCAAGATTCGGATCAGTTTGAAAAGTTTGTGTCTAAGGTTTTGTCCCTCCGCTACAACCTTAATCTCCGCAAGGTTGTCTACGTCGACAACTACAATTATGCAGGCCGCGCGTACGGCAGGAAATCTATGGATAGGGTTTCGAAAGTCACCAACTATGCATTATCCCATGGCGTTCAACATTTGGTCCTTCGCATGAGGAGGGCTACCAACAACCACTGCAACTTTGGTTCGATATTCTCGGAGTACTGCGATGAGGAGTACTATTCGATGTTCTCGG